TAATTATATTTTATATTTTTTATATTTAAAATGAGATGTTTATCCTGTATCTGATTATGTTTAACTGCAGTTAGTTACACGAATTCAGATCTGCAGTGAGTTACACGAATTCAGATATGGAGCTGTAATAAGTTATACTTACGCACAATCTATTTGTAATCTTGAGTTTTAAGTAACATGCATTAATAAACAGTACTTTAAGCATAAAAAGTGGTTTTTAAGAGTTTTTGTCAAATGCTTTATAATATAGTATAGATATAGATAGTCATTCTTGAAATCATTAGTGGACGAGAGTCTAAATCCTATTTACAATGTGAAACCATGATACGTGATTGGAACTGTTTTAATATTTAAAACAACTTTGTTTTAATATTTAAAACAACTTTCTTGCAGATATACATTCTTATGTACAAGGAGGTTGCAATTGCTTTAAAAATCAATAGTTTATACAGCCAGAAAAGGCTTCTTAACATTCATGAGAACGTGAAAGTGTTGCGCTATCCTGACCACTTTGCGGCTGGCATTTACTTGTGGTATGCATTTAGCCAACTTCATATTTCTTATCCTTATCAGTGATATTAAACACAATTGTACATAGAATCTTTTATCTTGTTTTGCTTTTTAACTTCTCAACATGCAGGTCACATCATGAAAAAATCGTAGTTGTTGATCACCAGATCTGCTTTCTTGGGGGATTAGATCTATGCTTTGGTCGTTACGACACAATTGAACACAAAGTCAGTGATTGCCCTCCTTTTATATGGCCTGGAAAGGACTATTACAACCCCAGGTTAATCATGTTTTCTTTCTGTTATCGAATGTTTTTATGATTAGCGAATGAAGGCAAGAGGAAATATTAGGATTTTATGGCTTCAAAATAGATAAAAGAAACTATTACAATTTATCCAAAAATTAATGAGAAACTGCTTTTACTTGTTCAGGGAATCTGAACCAAATTCTTGGGTGGACACCATGACAGATGAATTAGACCGCAGAAAATATCCTCGCATGCCATGGCATGATGTTCACTGTGCTCTTTGGGGACCTCCATGTCGTGATGTAGCAAGACATTTTGTCCAACGTTGGAACCATGCCAAGGTTCAACTTATATTCATTTTTATATAAATTTTTGGTATTTTAAAGATAATTTTTTTTCTCTAATACAGCTACCATTTTATCCAGAGAAACAAAGCCCCAAACGAACAAACAATTCCACTACTAATGCCACAGCAACACATGGTTCTCCCGCACTACATGGGGAGAAGTCAAAAATTAGACATTGAGAGTAAGCCTACCGATGGAAACCAAATAGACATTATGCAGGGTTCGTCTTCCTATGAGTCACCATCACAAGATATACATTTTCTTTTGCCTCAAGAAGCTGATGTGATAGATTCTTCAAATGCCAATAACACGTTGAACGGGCTCGACCAGAGAAACCAACTTGATCTATCACATGATGAACATTTAAACCATGCTGTGCAAACAGTAGATTCAGCAGATGATTTTGATTCCATGGATCGTCAGCATGAAAATAGCACGGGGTCAACTAGCTTTGGATCTGAAATATCAGATGAGGGGTGTGAAAAGCAAGAAGTTTCTAGTGGTGATATTTCACAAGTCAGTCCCCGTACGTCGTGCTCTTGTCAGGTTAGACATTCTTCTGTTAGGTAGTGTTCTTAAATCTGTCAGAAGGTCATGTTTTAAAAACAAATATGTTATTTTCCTAAAAAACCCTTCAGTAGTAGATAAATAAATTCATAGAAACAACCCTGTTAACTGTGCCATAATCCTTAGGCCTGCAATGTACAAATCATGGTTTTTAGAAATTACAAAATAACCCTTTAGCAAAGTGTTACGTTGCATAACTTTTACTTGTGTTCATGTTTTTGATGTATGATTTGTAGGTTATCAGAAGTGTATGCCATTGGTCTGGGGGAACAAGTCAAACTGAAGACAGCATTCATAAAGCTTATTGTTCTCTAATTGAGAAAGCAGAAAAGTTCGTTTACATTGAGGTAATTCATGGAAATAACAATTTGTGAAACATGATTGCTGGTGCCATTTTGATGTAGTTTCAGTAAAGCTGATGAAGTTAGCATCCTAGAAAATGCCAGCTCAAATACAGCAAGAGATTTCACACCAGAATCCTACTGGTTGAAACCCCATGATACCTCAAGTTTTAAATTTCCCAAAAATACATGGCCTTCGCTCCTCCTAATAACCCCCTTTACCCTTCAACATTTCATTTCTATGAGATATCTATTTGAAATCGTGAATTAACCATTCAGCTGTGTAGCACAAATTGTTATGGAATTCCTAAAATCTTTTCAAAATCATGAGAAAATAAATATTAGTGGATGTGATGAGCATAACTTGTTTACTTTGAATATTTTCTTTCTAAGCTATGAGTTCTATATTGATTGTTATTTGTGCATTAATTAAGTCATCTCTGTATGACTGCACTTGAAGATGACTTCTTGTCTTCTCATGTTATCTCCATTAAAAACCAATTTTGAGTAAGGGGTTCACTCAGTAACCGCAGCTTCCTTTCACTCGCAATTCTGTTTCTTTTTTATTTTCCTTCCTTCGAATAATTGTACAAAGACAATATTAATATTATGATCCATATCTGTAAATTTAAAATTTATGATGTTTGTTTTTTTTTCTTTTTCTTCCAGAATCAGTTTTTCATTTCAGGCCTATCAGATGATGATGTCATACAGAATCGCGTCTTGGAAGCTTTATACAGACGTATCTTACGTGCACATAAAGAGGAAAAGTGCTTTAGAGTTATCGTTGTTATACCACTTTTACCAGGATTCCAGGTAATACCCTGCTTTTAATGTGATCTTGTTTTGAACTTTGGACTAAAAGCGTAACAAACAAACAAACAGGGGGGTCTGGATGATGGTGGGGCTGCAACTGTGAGAGCTATAATGCATTGGCAGTATCGAACCATTTGCAGAGGACAGAATTCGATACTACACAACCTCAACTCACTTCTTGGTCCTAAAACAGATGAATATATATCATTCTATGGTCTCAGGACATATGGCAGACTTGGTGATGATGGTCCAATTGTTACAAGTCAGGTATTGACATTGTTCGTTGTTTTTATGATGTTCAGCACTACTATCTTGAGGGTCAACTCAACTGTCAAATAAAGACCAAGCCACTGGGGATTTTCCTAGCTGTTATCTTTAGAGCCCCCTGGGATTAGTTGCGGACAACCATGGTTACCCAAAAAATGACTACTTCTTTTTTCAATTTTAATGCAGGTGTATGTGCACAGTAAAGTGATGATAGTTGATGACCGTATCACCTTAATTGGATCATCCAACATAAATGATAGGAGTTTGCTTGGACACAGGGATTCTGAGGTACAAATATTCTTTCCTCCATGCCTTCTCTTATATATTTGGATTTTATACTCCTTCCATCAACCACGATGTATGACTCGAGATATAGTTAAAATATGTTCAATTAAGGACAAAAAAATAAAAATAAAAATTCGAGTAATGATTGCCAAGGGTTAAAAAAGGAAATTACTAGCTTCATTTGGTTTGGTTAAAGGATAAAAAGTACTCTTGCTAACAAAAGTTGCTGCATTAGATTGGGATTCTCATTAAAGATAGAGAATTTACTGAATCAACAATGAATGGAGAGCCTTGGAATGCTGGGAAATTCGCTAATAGCCTTCGGCTTTCTCTGTGGTCTGAACATCTTGGTCTTCATGGTGATGAGGTTGGTTACCATTTTAGACTTAAAAAGAAGTATTATCCACATCTGTCTTTTTTCTTCTCAACTCTCTTCTTTCTGTTTTAGATAAGGGAGATTAGAGACCCGATAGCAGACAAGACATACAAAGATTTGTGGTCCGCAACTGCAAGGGTAATAAAAACACAACCCTTTTCTTCGATTTGTACTTGAACCTCCAACTGATATCGATAATGTTGTTCACAGGCAAACTCCCAAATTTACCAGGATGTGTTTTCTTGCATCCCAAATGATTCGATACACTCAAGGTAGAAAAATAATCTTTCTCACTTCAACAAAATCAGGTTTATAGGACATCAAATATGTCCTAATAGACTGCTTTATAGGACTTCAATTTATACCGGCAAACAATTGTGTGTTATATGTAAATTATAAAACATCTATAGGACGCCTTTGGGTGTACTAACAAGTTTATAGGTCACTTTTGAAATAAAACATCTTATTAGTCTTTTAATATGACATTATTTGAAAAGGGTGTTAACAAAACTAGTTTTTTATAAAAAGATGTGTTCGTAGGACACTTCTCAAAAAGTGTTCTGTAAAAAAGCTAATAGGAAACTTTATTTTCAAGTATGCTTAAATATGTCCTAACATCCTATGGTAACACACACACACACAAACAATTGTTTAGTTCTATATACACTTGCAGTCCTATAAAGCAGACTATTAGGATATTTGGCGTCCTAAAAAACTGATTTTTATAGTGTCTTTGTGACATTTTATTTCCTAGAAACTAGATTCTTACGGTTCGTTATCTATTTCTATATAATGCAGATATGCATTCCGACAAAGCATGAACTTCTGGAAAGAAAAACTTGGTCATACCACGATCGATTTAGGTGTAGCTCCTGAGAAACTTGAATCTTTGACATCGATGGAAATATTAAAGCAAGTAAGAGGTTTTCTTGTTTCGTTTCCGTTACAGTTCATGTGTCAAGAAGATTTAAGACCAATGTTTAGTGAGAGTGAGTTCTATGCATCTCCTCAGGTCTTTTACTAGCCATTCAACTAGGGAGAAATGTACATGAATTTTATCATCTTCTTTTTCCAAAATATCCATTATTTTCAAATAGTAATTTTTATTTGTTTTCAGTCTATTTTTCTTGTAAATTTGGGGGAGATAAGGATGGTTGGTGTAGATCATTGATGTTGGGTAGAAATAACTGTAAATTGTTCAATGTGGATCATTGGTTTGACACTACTTGAGAATAAAAGCATATTTGATGAAAATGTTCTTCATTTTGATCTCCAATATACATTTGCTGGGTATGTTGGAACCAAATGTGGCAAAAACAAGCTCATAATTTATTGGTAGCTTTCTGAATGACTGACATTCGTGTTTTTAATAATCTTTTTGGTCAGACAATTGGTTGTGAAGGCTCAAATGCATCATATGGGGCTTCTATTCTTGCCTAAAACTTATTTTTTGATTGGTTTATACCTATTATTGGATTTTGAGATGCATCAAGATAACAATGGCATAATTGTATATCTTTGTAGGATGAACTTCAGACCGATGAAAATATTTCTATGAAATAATAGGTTGGTAGAAAACTAAGTTGAATATGCTATGTGTGTGATTTGGCTAATTGAATCACCCATTATTTATATACTTCACCTCAAATGAAGTACGTTCGCAAGAATGAAACTCAAAGGAATTGACGGGGGCCTTGCACAAGCGGTGGAGCATGTGGTTTAATTCGATGCAAAGCGAAGAACCTTACCAGGGCTTGACATGTCGCGAATCCTCTTGAAAGAGAGGGGTGTTAGATTAGACAACACGCTGCAATAAACTTGACAACATATTGAAAGTTCTGATAAAAAAACAAACTTGACAACATACTGCAAAGTTTGACAAGATTCTTTTGAAAAGCTTGATAAGATAATTCTGAAAGGTAGCGTTTGGTACGCAAACTGGATGAGACCAGACTGGACAAGACAGGTACGTTTGGTACTACTAGAACAGTACTGGACAAAACTGTTAAAATGACCAGATTGCCCCGAAATGTTGTTTAATGTTATTTTGCATCATATAATGATTGTAAATAACACAAATCAACCAAAATATATTTAAATAATTACATCTATGATATTTTACTATTTTCTAAATTTGTATGCAAAACAACAATTGTAAAAAAATGTACGTAATTTAAGTGAGGGGGGGAGAAGACTCTTACCTGTCGACGTTTTCCGGGCATGTGATAATCACCAACAATCCATTTTAATTGCCGAGAATATTACCCGACAAGATAAATGAGAGTGGTGACTCTTGACGATAAATACTTACCACGTTAACATTCGGTAAACTCCCCTTAGATGACTTATGTATTTATACAAAATCAAACCTCATAATATAATTTTTATTTTATTTTACGATAGTCGAAGGAAAAAAGAAGCTTAATTCCCAGTTTTGTCCACCAAGGCCATGATTTACCACCGTTTTGGCATCTGTTTTTTCTTCTAGTGGTATGATTGTATCATAATCAAATGACACACATTTCACCACTATTTTCTAGTGCTATACGCTTTTAAAAGATTTTTAGCATGACTTTTCGGAAGAAATTAAGATTATAAGAAATGGCAAACCCGCATTTTGATAAACCCTAATCTCACCACCTAACCCTCCTGTCACAATCACTAAACCCCATGTCGTTGCTTGGATGGGCTTGTTCCCATGGCCGCCACCACCTTCATGCTTTGAGGGTGATCGATAGTTAGGTGAATATCCCGTTATATCGTCGAACCTTCAAGGAAAACTGGAGGCCAAGTTGAACGACTCGCTAGGGCCAACGCTTGAGTTAAGGGGCTGTTTGTTTGGCTCTTAATGGTGACATTAAGAGCCAACCTTTGAATCGGTCAGAGGTGAAATGTGTTTGGCAAAAAAAAACAGACCTCTTAATCGTTACACAGACCTCTTAACCATTTTGAGGGTGGGGGGCTACTCAACCATTCAGAGTACCATTTCTTCCATGAATACCCTTCCCATCGTCTCCCCAAGTTATCGCCTCCCCCATCTTCTCCGGCGCCGGTGTCGTCGGTCGCCCTTTCCACAGCCCCTTCGTCTCCCCAAGTCGTCGCCTCGTCGGTTCCCGTCCTCCATCTTCGTCGTCGGTCTCGCTTCTGTCAGTTAAGCCCCTTCGTCCTTCGGTCTCGTCGGTTCCCTTTTGTTTTGTCGCCAGTCGTTAGTCGGTTTAAGTCGCCCGTCTTCACAGAGGGAACGATTCTTCACAGAGGGAACGATGGAGGGATCGATTGAGGGGCAACGATTGAGAGGATCGATTGAGAGGCAACGATGGAGGGATCGATTCTTCACAGAGAGAACTTTGAGGGAGCCCTAACGGTTAAAATGGAATAATGGGTTTTTGTTAGAGAGGGTTAAAATGGTAATTTATTATCATTCAGAGAACAGTTACCAAACAACATTATTTCATTCAGCACTTAACCATTCTGACCCTCTCAACCATTCTGACCTCTTAACTATTCTGCACTAAATCATTCAGCAACTGCCAAACAGCCCCATTGGAATGATGATCTACGTCCTCATTAATGCTTGCTACTCCTTTTAGGAAGAGGTGGTAGCGATGTCGCTCTCTTACCATGGCCGGTATCATCGTGTAGCGGAGAAATGCTGCCAGCAGCAGTGGCGGTAGGCGACTGGGTGGTGGTGGACCTTTTGGAGTGTCGTTTGGGATCATTGCAACGACTAGTGGTGGACCACCCTTTTGGAGTGTCATTAGGAATGGATTTGTTTTAGGTTTATTTGAGGATATAAAAGTAATTTTGTAATTTGTCTCATGTTGTTCCACCCTTTTTGGTGGAACAAAAAATCTCAAGATTTGTCCCATGAAAATTAAAATTACTCCCACCTTATCCTCTGCTCTTTTGTCCGTGGCATGCCAAACATGGGACTATATTTTTTGTCTCGTCCCGTCTCATATAGTCTGCATATTGAACGCACCTAAAAGTCTGATAAGAATTGACAGCACATTGGTATTGTAACACCTCTAACATAGGAGTAAATTTAAACCGGAATAGAGTCTATCAAATATAAAATCACCCGAAATGGGGAAATAGTATAGTGTTTACAACCCAAGTTATAAAGAGGATAAATAACAACCTGTTAATCTAAACTATTCCAAGTCTAAATTATAGACGATGTCTTTATCTTCTCACCAAAAGAATCCTGTCAAAGTAAAAATATAACGCCAATTGACCAAAATTTATCATCCACAAAAGTGCCTCTATCGGCATCCTATCTCTTCTCTCAAGACTTATGAGTCCCACCGCTTTGTGAACCTGATAAGCATGTTATTTTAAGAAAAATGTTAGGCTTAACGCATAGTGAGAACAAACATAAATGAAGTAACCAATTCAAAACTAATAAGGAATAGAAGATCAAATTAGAAACCAAATTTATACTTTTCAACCAATAGACCATAAGATCCAAAATACATATTACAGTGACGATGTCGGGGAGACCCGATTTTCCCATGATTAGTGGCAGAACACAAAAGTAGACCATAATCCCATGTTATAGAGCTCATACTAAAGATCAACAACCAATAAGTTCAACTAACCTGTGCTTTATAGTTCAAGGCCTCCCATGATCCTAGTTACAATCATTCACTATAAGTTACATCAAACATATAATGGTTAAAGTCCAACCAACCTGTGATTTATAGTTCAAAGCCTTCAGCAATGTCTAATTATAGTTACAAACTGGATGACTCATATGCTTATTGATCCATTGCATTTCAGTCTAACATAAGTCATAATCTTTAAAGTGACCAACTATAATCATACATATAAATTACATCGTTTACATGGCCTCATAAAACTATTTTAACACAATAATACCAAATGGGTCAAATCCCTTTTTATTTCCAATAGAGCATTTCTTACCCAAAACACATCCCTTACATCTTCATTTTCCAAAGCATACATGAAGTGCTTTTAATATGTATAAACATAAAATATGAAATTCAAGGGTTATAGTAACATTTATGTTCATAAAACCAACTTCCAATACTTTTCCTAGCAAAAATGGTGAAAACCCCAA